CTGTCTGGTCCATTCTAGGTGGGGCTCACACCCTACTTTACTGATAAGGATAGTAATTGTTTCCATGGAAAGCCAGAGAAGTGGTCAAACCTGCTCAGTGACATCAAAAGTTAGGCTGCCAACCTGAATCTAGGATCCGCCCATCTTGTCACATATGTACTCCCAATCCCTCCCCTTCCTATTGCATGTATACCCCTAGATTGTCCCCCTCCCATTACTGTACTACCTATTGTACAACCCCTTCCTGTGACTTATGTCTTTACCTGTAATCAGGGGGCCTGCACGCCCCCAAAATATATATAAGCCTTGGTTAGTAATAAATCTTTCTCTCTCCCGTCCCCTCTCCCTGTCCTCCTTCCCCGCGCCCTCTCCCCTGCCATTCCCACGTGCCATACCCCCACATGGACCACCAAGAGGGGCTGAGGTAAGCATGCTATCATGAAATGTGCCTGACTCCTTCATTTTACTTTCTCTCTTATTCTCTATGACTTTACTGTAATCTTTACATATTATCGCTGTACAATTGTGCCTGCTGGGCCTGTTATGATTTGTTAGGGGCTGGCTCCCCTGACAAAAGATCAGTGTTGTATTACATCCTAAGTCTGTGCCAACTTGGATGTTTACGAGGCCAAGAGAAGATGCAGCACCTATCAGCTACCTGACTGGTGCGATTCTAGTACAGCAGGGACTGGGGAGAAATGTCAAGAGCCTACAACTGATTCATGGTGCCACATCTCAGCTATCCACAACTCCCCCCCATGTGCCTCTGCTTTCCCAGAACTTTAACTGCAACAGAGACCATTTAGGACTGAAGTTCACATGTTGAGTGTTCAGCATAGACTCTATAATGTACCAACAGTCACAACATTTCAATTTATTATCCCAAATTAGACTCCAGGAAAAAAGTGACAGAGCCACTAAGTGGCATAGCCCTGATACGGTTTCTCTCGTCCAGATATATGTAAGTCATGTGCCATCTGATCCCTATCTTTCTTCCTATACTGACAAGTCATGGTACTTCCAATTGTCCTATGTGCATAACGAATGCTGGACAATGAAAACAGAAGACTGTTTGATCGTGGTGTAGTGAAGAATAGTGAATATATCACACGCTGCCAGAAGAACAAACACATCTGTCTTGGAAGAAGTACAGTCAGAAAGCTTCTTTCAAGTGTGGATGGCAAGACTTGGTGTCACATATTTTGGACATGATATCAGAAGACACCAGTCCCTGGAAAAGGACATCAAGCTTGTGCAGAGTCCGTGAAAAAGAGAAAGACCCTTGACAAGTTGGACTGCCACAGTGGCTGCAATACTGAGACCAAGCATAACAAGTGTGAGGACAGCAAAGGACCGGGACCACGGAACAAATTCTGTGGTCTATCGTACACACGGCCACTCGGAGCGGAAGCCCACTCAACGGCACTGAACAATAACAAAAGCATGACTTTGGTGCTTCTGTGAAATATGTAAACGTGTCACTCCTCTTTTTTAAAACTCAGCTCTTATCCTATCTGAATGAATCCCAAGAAGCGCCTTAGTTTGCTAATTATCTCTATAGCTGAGTTATTATTATTGCTGCAAAAAAGTCAGCCTTTGTCATACTAAGCTGCATACTACATACTCTATACTTTTCTATTTCCTTCCCAGGGTCTTCAAAAATGTTCTTGCCTCATCTGAAGAGAAATTTAGGCAGTATACGCCAGAACCTTTTCTGTATGTCCCTAGACCTCAACTCAAGTGCTTCTGGCATGAGTAAGGGCACAACTACCGCTAATTGTTTTCAATTAAAAATAAATACGTTCTCAGGAAAACGTGCGAGACATCATTCTTGGTCTGGCACAACAGATTACAATGTGAGAAAACACTGGAAGGCCATTTATATCCATGCAATGACACAAAGCACAGACTACATCAATTCAACAAGAACCACCTGCCCCAAAATCCTGGGAAAGAAGGAAATGTCTTTCTTTTCAACCTCTAATGTGACACTCTCAGTAGGCTGGAGTTTTACCCCAAGCCTGTGTATACAATATATAAACACATACTTGTATAATACAAACACACAAGTTTCCATGTTTTAACCAGTGGTATAATTACATACACGAAATGCTTTGTGATCTTTTAAAAATCCAATCATGTATGCCGGAAATCTTTCCAAAAGATGGCCTAGCGTTTCACTCCCTATTGGGCCACTTACTAATGTGTGTTTTGCTTGTTTCCACTTTTCCTTGGACTAGCAATGCCACAGCGATCACCTTTGACGTTACCCCGGCCTCGGCATTCCTGTGAGCATTCCGATCCACTCCATTTCCACTGGTGGGACTGCCGGATTAAAGGGCAGAACTACTGTACGTCCTACGAGGTATCACAACACGCCAGCCCGCTCCACGCACAGGAGAGAAGTATCTTTACAAATATGCCAAGTCAAAAAGTTCTATCTTCTTTGAGGCTTCCTAACCCCCACTATCATGACCCCAGTCCTGCTTTTCAGTTCTGGCTAAACTAGAGCATGTACACTGGTACAGATGAGAGCTCACGACACACAGAATCCAGGTGGATGAACCCCTCCAGAACAGAAATGGGACTAGTGATACCAAGAGGGTAAGGCAAAGGTGGGGGAGGAGGGCAGGAGGCGAGGAAGGGGGAACAGATAGCAATGATCAACGCAGAATCCCCCCTTGTCCCACAGGGGATGAACAACAGAAATACGGGTTAAGGGAGACAGCGGTCAGTGTAAGATATGAAAACAGCCACAATTTATAATTTATCGATGGTTCACAAGGGTGGGAGGTAAGGGGAGGAAAAAAAGAGGAGCTGATACCAAGGGATCAAATAGAAAGTAAATGCTTAGAAAATGAGGATGGCAACGTAAGTACAAATATGCTTAATATAATTGATGTACAGAATGTTACAAGAGCTGTAAGAGGCCCCAATAAAATGTTTAAAACAAAAAGTTTTGCCCTGATAGGCATTTCCTTATTGCCAAATCGATGCCCTTTCCAGCACCTAGTCGTGACCCGTCTGTCTCACTGTTTCTTTACTACGTGTCTAGCCCTGGCTACAGTGTTAGAGGGAACAGAAATGGTCTGGTCCTTCCCTCAGGAGACACAGGCAACACATCGGTCTGTGCAAATGATGACAACTGCAGAGAGGGAAAGGTACAGGCTGTGATGGCGGAAAATAGCAAGGAAGCAGACAGGGATCCACTCTGAGATGATGGTGGGAAAATGCTGCTTGCGATGACCTGTGAGGCCAGGAGGAAAGAGGTCACCCAAGAAGAAAGCCAGCCTGAGGGAAGGAGGATGCAACAATGGGTGCAGGGGACCACCCCAGCCAAGCCCCGGCAGCATGGCAAGATTAAAGGGCAGAAAGGAGGTGGAGGGAAAGGGTGAACTTCTTGTCTAATAAAGGACGTGTAGACGTTTATCCTACTAACGTGGAGGAGTTTTTGTATCTCAGAGCCATTGAGTCCATTCCAGCTGTAGCCACAGTAGAACTGCCTCTGTAGGCTTCCAGGATTACAAATCTTTACGTAGAAAGCCTCATCTTGCTCCCTCAGAGCGGGTGGCCCTGAACTAGTGACCTTGCAGTTAGCAGCCTAGTATGTAACTCACTATACCAAACCAAACTCACTGCCATCTTATCAATACTACCCTGTAGGGCAGGGTGGACTGGTCCTTTTGAGATTCAGAGGCTTTAAGTGTTTAAGGCAATAGAAAGCCCTGTCATTTTCCTGAGGAGCTGCTGGTGGTTTCGAACTGCCAGTCTTACAGATCCCAGCCCAACACATACAAAATCACTATGCCACCAAGGCTCCTATGTCATACATTGCAAATCTTTCCCCCTTTCTCCAATGTGAATTTGCATCACCCACTCCCCAAATACACTTATCTATACCTTTCACTGAACAAAAATGTTTGTCAGCTCAATTTTATCAATCTTTCCTTATATGGGGAGTATGTCATCCTGGTGGCAGTGTTGAGTAAATGTTGAACTGCTAACCTCAAGGCTGGGCACTCAAATACACTAGCCGCCCAACAGAAGAAAAATGAGACTATCTGTTCCAGTAAAGACTGTAGACTCAGAGACCCTTTATTGGGTCACTATGAGAATCAACTCAATGGCAATGAGTTTGGTTTAGCTAACTTAAAATAAGATTATAAAAATATACTCGGGTTTGTTTTCATAATAGTTAAATATTTGATGTGGAATTTATTTTGTATAAAAAGGTCTGGATCCAGCTTTGTATTTCTTGCCCTTCTCTTAAAAAGGCAATCAGGGTCCTTAAACCAGTCAAAGAAGAATATATTGTCCCTGCTTAACTGAAAACGATGCTGTGTCCTTCAAATGTAGCTACACAGAGGATTACTCTCAGATTGTACTCGATGAGGCTGAATGAGGGATACATTTTGCTCTGCAGAGATAGAGAATAATGAGAAAAGTAAAGGTGGAGAGTGATGACCAAAAATATCAATTTATTAAATTCTGAGTACACAACAGGTAACTATAAATAAATTCTTATATAATAAAGATTAGAAATAGCAATATTTACCTTATATGTGTTTGTTGTTTAGCTAAGGCACCCCATATATCACTAATAATCTGCAAGTAGATTGTAAAGCATTTTAAAATAGCAGTTTTGAGAAATGTAGTCTTAACTAAATGAAAACAAGCTTTAAAACTTATAATTAAAAATATGAAAAGGAAATGAGATAATTCAGAAAATATTTATAATAACATAATCTTATATTTTATACAGTATTTGATCATATCTAAATACCCAATAACCCTACAAGGTAGGTTAAAAAAATCTTTGCAAATAAGCAAACAGGCTCAAATGGATTCAGTGGTCTCCCGAAAGATAAATAGCTACTAAGAAGCATTGTTGGATCCCCAAACCAGATCTCCAGCTTCATACTCTCATTCAGCACTCCTGATGCCAGGCCAATTACACACACACAAAACCAGAAAACTGGTTCAGAGACCAACAATCACAGATGTTAAGTATTTGAAACACACACTCCATTGTCCTATTCAATAGGAACTGAGGGGTCTTCTAACCTGAAATCCATCCACAGTGCAGACCTTCTCTACAATATCTCTGATAAGTTTATGCCATCTAGCCACTAACTAAATCTCTATATCTATCCCTTCCCAATTCTGGACGGTTTGGTTCAAAAGTCCTGTCTCTTAGGCTTGACCATATTTCTACTTAAGGAGTCAGAATAAGAGCAATCTTATTTTTAAGCGACAGGCAATACTTAAAAGCAATTATCTTCTTTCCATAGGAACTTTTTATTATTTAAATAACAACAACAAAGTCCAACTTCTTGAATCTGAACATCTCTTGTTACCCAGTAGACCAGCAGTTCTCAATCCGTGGGTCACGACCCCTTTGGGGGTCAAACGACCCTTTCACAGCCCAATTCATAACAGTAGCAATGTTACAGTTATGAAGTAGCAACGAAAATCTTATGGTTGGGGGGGGGTCACCACAACATGAAGAACTATATTAAAGGGTCACAGCATTAGGAAGGCTGAGAACCACTGCACTAGCCTATTTTTCTGATTATAGTCTAGATTGTCTAATGTTTGAGTACCTACTGGGTATACATCCAGATAAAAGAAGCAAAAGTGCAAAGAAAATACAGGATCCAGTATTCCAAAAGAACTAATTGTGCTGATCAGTATTAAAAGTGCTACAGGAACACAAAGCAAATACATAAAATGCCCAATGTGGTGGGTAAAGTGCCAATGTTGGCTCGTGCCCAACCCTTTCCCCCTTTTCAGGAATTCAGTGTTGTTACTCAGGAACATGCATAGTTAGAACCCTTTTGTTTCATGCACAAAATGTGAGGCTGCCAACGACCTTTCTGCCCTTTCAGTTCCGCATCTAACAAACTGGGGGTGATAATCTCTGTCTACCCTGAAGGGCTCTGTTGAATAACCAGACGAAATAACACAGGTGAAAGCGTTTTGTACAAAGCACAAAGCACAGTAGGAATACATAACATGAATGAAAACTATACCACTGAAAGTTCTTCAAACAGAAACCATTAACTACAAATTAGAAAACCTAGATACTAACATTTATTATTTGATCACAGAAAAGTCATAATCCACTACCTTAATAAACAGAGTATCACAACTGATTTTTCTCATTAAAGGCTGGGAATTCTCTGGTTAATGTACATCTGGACTTAGAATTCCATTATCAAATGAAGTTAGGTGTCTAAACTTTTGACTTTATCTACTTTCTTAGCACATCATTAGCAATATATTTTCCCTTTTGTTAAATACTATCCAGGAGTTAGTTGGCACTGTTCATACATACTGTTCATTTTAAATAAGTAGCAATAAGACCATTTAATTTTTAATAAGAAATATTACATAAATGCATTATGAAACAGTATATAAAAGTTAAAAACAAGTCAATAATGAATTACATAGGCAAAGCAAGCTGTATGTGATATACCATGGTCTCTTTAATTGTTTATTTCAATATAACATTACCATCAAAACCCACGTCACCCTTTTTGTTATATCTATTTTATACTAGCTAATAACAGAATACTTTATGGGCTTGTAACTAGATTTAAAAACGAGAGTAAGAAAATAGAGACTGTGTCTCATTAAACCCATGCAAGAGATGAAATCAGATTAATATTTAGCTAAGTATAAATACACCCAATGATGGGGAAACAAGAGCATGGCTTACCACAAGGAAGAGCTCATAAGTGAGAGACATACCTTCCTAACAATTGCAATAAATACTATAAGAACCACAGGAAGCAGCAATGTCTTCGTATACCTCAGTGGAGTCTGAAATTCAGAGACATGTTGTTAGAGGAAAATATTATTTCAGAGGAATTAAATTCTATTCAAAATAATGAGTCAAGAGAACTTTTAAAAGGTCTAAGCATGGGAGTAGGAGCATGTGTTCATCGCAAGTCCATTCTATCCATTGTTTCCTACCACAGACGTGATGGTACTCCCCCAGGGAGCAAACTTCCCCAGAACAGTGAGCTGAAAATATGGTGGGGAATAAAAGTCTGAACACCACACATACACACACACAAAGAATTTACAAGGTAACAAAAGGTATTACGTTTATTTAGGTAAGTCCTAGAAGCTACCATTTACTGTCTTTTCCCCAACATCTCCGCGCACAAAAATAGTTATGTTGTTTAGCCAAACACTATGTGTCTTTCTAAATACTTTTAAAGATAAACCTAGTCTCAACTGCATTAAAAATACTGGTACTTCTTAAGAAACCCAAGGGGCTCTGTGGTAAAGGTGTTTGGCTGACAACCCAAACTACTGGTACTTTGAAATTCTACAAAGTATGTGGTAATACGATTTCCTGACTTTCCCACTCACGATTCTAATTTTGAATATGTTGGTGGGACTGTGGAATCCACGGAGGCTCATAGCAGCTACATGGGTCTGCTCCTAGAGTTTTCTCCACGGCAGTCTTTACTGCAGCAGTCATGGGGCTTTCTCCAGCAGAGCCAACTGAGGGGGTTTGAACCACCCAATCTTCCATCAGCAGCCCAATACTTATTTATCAGTTCTTCCTTCCGATTATCCTTCCCTAAGCTCTTTTGTTGTTGTTTGGTTAAAACAACATGAAAAAAAGAAAGCATCAGACCTGGAAGTCAGAAGAGACTTAAAACTTGTTCTTAAACGCAGAGCAGCTATAAAGCTAAGTGAAAATGATGAAGAGTAAAAGAGCTGAATAGAAGATTCCAAAGGGTACCTTGAGAAGACAAGTATAATGAAATGTGCAAAGACCTGGAGAGTTAGAAAGCCGCAAGGAGTCAATAAGCTCAGCATAACTCAAGTCAAAAGAATTGAAGAAAAAATTCCAAGCTCAAGTTTCTGTACTTTTGGCAGATTTTTGAATGGCCCAGGAAGCATTAAAAGATAGAAGGAGTATACAGTCACTGTACCAAAAAGAGGAGGCCAACAACCAAGAACCAATGAAATTTAAGGAAGAATTCTAAGTTATACAGTGGCACTGGCAAAAAACAAGCCTCTGTCAGTTCTTCAGTCTATGGTGGCTTGTGTGTTGCTCCGATGCAGGAAGCGTATACCATTGATCTTCCAAATAGCAGCAGGGTTAGCCAAGCTGAAAAGATTTCAGCAGAGGTTCCAGACTAAGAGACTACAAAGAAAGACGAGGCTGTTCACTTGAGGGGATCAGCCACTGAAAAGGTCATGGACAGCAATGGAACAGGGTCAGATCCAGAGCCAGAAGAGGAGCCCCTCAGGTCAGAAAAAACTCAAAATACAACAGGTGAAGAGTTGCCTTTACAAAGTAGAGTCAACCATGATGACACGGATGGAATAGTCTTGGGGAGCCTTTATTTGCTAATGGGGTACAGCTCAGAATGAAAAGAACCAGCTGCAAACATCTATTAATAATTGTAATTTGAGTGCAAGAAGTGTGACGTCCTCAAAAATGAAATGGGATGCATAAAGTTTGACATCCTAAGCATTAGTGCGCTGAAACGAACTGGTAATGGCCATTTTGAACCATAAAAATGATAAATTGCACTGCAATCGCATCAAATTCATTGTCGAAAAGACATCTGATATGCATGCTAAACAAATAATCCCCAAAAAAGGGACTGTGTGAATACTGGATTGGAGGAGGGCTCATTAGCAACCTTCAATTTGCAGATAGCATCACTTTGTTCTCTGAAAGTGAAGAGGGCTTAAGTGCTTACTCATTAAGACTATACCTCCCCCTAAAGAATCCAAAATCGTATTACTAGAATAAGCAACACAATGAGAAAAAGGAAAAAACAGGGAAGTTGCCAGGGGTTCACTTTCTGGGATTAACAATCTGCTCATGGCAGGAGCAGTCAAGAAATCAAATTAATATTAGGCAAATCTGCTGCAAAAGACTGATTTATTAAAGTGTTAAAAAGCAAAGACAAAAAAAAAAAAAAAAAGCAAAGACGTCACTTGGAGGACTAGGGTATGGTGTTGGTATAAAAATACCAAACCATGGTGTTTTTAATCACTTCACTTGCATGCAAGGGCTGGACAATGAATAAAGGAAGATGGAAAATGAACGGATCCATTTGCTTTACGATACTGCTGAAGAATATATATCAGAAGAACAAATCCATCTCAGAAGCAGTACTGTCAGAACGAGAAGTAAAGATGGTAAGATTATGTTCTCACATACTTGGGACCTGTTCTCAGGGGAGCAGTCTCTGGAGAAGGAGCTCATGCTTGGATGAGGGCCAGCACAAAAGACGGCCCTCAACAAGATGGTTTGATACAGGACAACACGGGGTTCAAACAGCAACGATTGGGAAGATGGCTCAGGGCTGGGCAGAGTTTCATTCTGTTGTGCACTGGCTGCTAAGAGGTGAAACTAACTCTGCTGCTGGGAGCCACCAAATCATTTTGACCTCTTGCGGCAAAGAAGAAGCCCTGGTGGCGCTGCTGGGTAAACACTGGGTGCTGACCGCAAAGGGTGAGGGAAACCCACCAGCCACCCCATGTGCCAAAGACGAGGCTATCTTTCTTCTCCTGGGAAGACGCCCGGCCGTGGAAACTCTACCGGGGTCTCTGAGTCATAATTAGCTCAGTGGCAGTGGAGCTGGTTTTGTGGCAGCGTAGAAGTGACCCATAGAACTTTCTAGGCTGTCATCTTTATGGAATCGGCCAGGACTGTCTCCGGCACTTGCTGGAGTCAAACCACCAGGCTTGTAGTCAACAGCTGTGTCACCAGGACCCCTTTCTCCACACTGCATGAATAATTCTGTTAATCATTCCATGACACTACATACTTCATGCAATTAGAAAAGAGGAGGTTTTTACACTTTCATTTTACTATTTACCTTTATAAACACTTACATGGTATTCAACATTAAAATATAACCCCTTCTATTTTTATAAAATTTAAATTATGATCGACTCTAAGCAAAAAAACAACTATTTTTATCAATGTAAAAATACAGTATTTTATCATCTATATAATCAAACATTTTCCTAGTAACAAACATCAGTAAGTCTAAGAACATAACACAGGCGTGTGCCGTAGATTTCACTATGTAAAAATTGTGTGAAAGTAGTGCACACACTTTTTTTAAAGCTTACGCTCAGAAAACATTTTAAGATGCATTTTAGCATTTGTGTCTGATAAATAAGATGAGCAAAAGACTGTGCCAGGGACAGCTTAGGCCAGAAGACAACAGAGTAACACTGAAGATACTTAAGGGCAGAAACATGAGCAGAAACACAACACATTTCTATCTCACCAACATGACCTAAATTTATAAAAACCCTGAGTGAGGTATTTTGAATGAGTGAAAATGCAGAAATTTCTTCCCTGACCCCTTTCTGAGGAATCCACGGGAGAACAAGCTTCACATCAAAGAAATGGCAGGAGGGGCTTCAACTCAGAACTTGTAGCAATGAGTGTTAACAACAGCACACATTTCTCTTCCGGTACGAACAAAGGGTGAAACACGGCTTCATGATGGGGCAGAGATGACAGAACAGTGTGAGCGGCTATGTGCTACCATGAAGACACAATGGAACTACTAAAAACATCAGGAAACAGGGTCAGAGTGTTCAGGAAGTACAATAATCTCAATCACTAATAAAAACAAAAAAACAAAGTTGCTGTTGAGTAGACAGCGACCTTCCTGTGGGACAGAGCAGAGCTGTGCTCCATTGGGCTTTTGGCGGCTGGTTATTTTTAGAAGCAGATTTTAACAACCCTTTCTTCAGAGCCTGGACTCCAACTTGTAGCCCTTCAGAGAAGGTTCAAGTGCAAGAGACTCCCTCACTGATACAGCATTGTAATAAATGAGGAGGAGGAAGAAAGCAGGGAAAGGAATAGAAGTTACAAAGTAATTGCAGCATAACTCTCAGTAGAAAGATGAACAGAAGAGGAAAGAAATATTTTATAAATAGACATCGAGAACCTTATTTTCCTCAAATAAACATGTAACGGAAGAAAGACATCCACACATACCCACACTGAGATGGCGGGAAAGAGTGACTGCATCTACCGAGTACCACGGCCAGCATAACACATAGCCACCTACGAATGAACGTTTCACAAAGAACGCAATGGCATCAAGAAACCAGTGCTGCATGAGTGGGGCTAAAAAAGCCGCATATGAAGTTTTGGATTTTTTTTAACCAAACTAGCTTATACAGTATGGTAAAATACTGTTGTGTTATATAAAATACCAAAGCACATTCCTGTGCATTATCTCATTCTGTCTGGATGATGTCTGCAGCACACGTCCTGGAACCCAGGCAACAACTGCACAAAGAATAAGCATCACTTGGTTCAAGAGCGTCAAGCAATATTCCTGACTTCTACCCGCTAACCTACTCCCTGGTTTCTCTAAAAAGCTGAGTACGGTTTCAGAAAGAAAAAGTTATTCTCAATATTTTTAAAATGATGAGATCACTCAATCGAGCAACAACAAAATGAGAGGCAATGTAAGAGCTGGAGAGGTTGGTGAAAATCAATGGCTGTGTTTGAAAAGAAGCAACTTCCTCTGTGTCTACTCATCCACGAAGTGTTGCCAGCCTCAAAGCACGCTGCTAAGTTATCAAAATGAGAAACGGCCATACATTTCAGGGAACTGTACTAATGCAAATAGGAACATTCTCCTTAAGCTGCCAGATTGTCCTTTTCCTTCAAAGCAAGATAAAAGCCAGAGGAAAGAGTCTGAAATCACTGGAGTACTCTTTTTCAAAAACGAATAGGCCTTAAAACATAAGGAAAGAAAACTAGAAATCACATCTTACCTCCTTTTCCATAAAGTCAAACTCTGCTGCGCAGGTGTACAATAAAGTATCAAAATCCTTGTAACTGAAGAATTTTGATGTTAATAAGTTGCCAATGTGCGCCTAGTAAGAAATTGAATGAGGTACCATTACAGTAAGTCATATATTGTAATAATGCATAAGTAAATCTTAATGCGATCTAAAAATAGTTTTCTCTAAATAGGGTGCATTGCTGGCATATGGAGCGGGCGTACTTTTGTAAAGAATAACGTGCCTTATAAGCTGCGCCCCCTCCCCTCACTGCCGACTCCCTACTCCACCACAGTTCTCCCTTTCTCCGCTGATAGGTGATGCCCCACTGTGCTCATCAGCCTACCAAAGGTTTTATTATACTCTTGGGCTTTGCTGCTTACTGTACTAAATCTGGTGACACACACTATAAACATCTTTGCAGGAAAGGTTTGGTTTTGGTTTTAGCTAGAGGCTATCTGCCAGGCGGAGCTCAGTGGCATAATGGTTAAGAGTTGGGCTGCTAACCTCAAGGTCAGCAGTTTGAAATCATCAGCTTTTCCACGGGCGAATACAAGGCTT